ATATTATATATATATTATTCGGCTTCGGCGTACAGGACGTTGAACATTCCGATGCTGGCAAGTACACGTGTCAGGTTGCTACGCGACCTCCGCTCTCTGTTGACGTCACAGTCATCATATTCGGTGCGTATCAGCTGTATGTACACGCGTCTTATCATAACAGTGAAGGTTACTTTTACAAATACTATTATTTAAATTGATGATTTAGAGTTAATATAATAATAGGAAACAGATTAACCGATTATAGCACACACGAGCGCGCATACGCACAGACAGACACACACACACAAGCACACATACACGCACGCACGCACGCACGCACGCACGCACACACACACCTCCTCCTCATCCTCCCCTCCTCCTCCACCTCCTTCTCCTCCTTCTCATTCTTCTTAAATTCACCAATTACTTTCGCGTTAACAGATCGTCCCAAGCAAGATGGCGGCGGCCCCGGTCGCGGCATCACGGACGCATCCGGTCCGCCGACCAATCAGCGACCGCGGATTGTGGAGATCAGCAGCAATGCGGAAGTGCCAGCTGGCGCCACTGTCGAGATGAGCTGCGTCGTCCTGAACGACGAGCGTGGCAACGTAAGTAATGAGGAAAGAGGGAGGTGGAGGGGCAGAAAGGGAGGTGGAGGGGAAGGAAGGGGGCGAGAGAAAGGAAAAGAGATGGAGAGAGAGGAGTAAAGGTGAAGGGAGAGAGAGAGAGAGAGAGAGATAGAGAGAGAGCGAGAGAGAGAAAGAGAGAGAGAGAGAGTGACAAATGATGCCGCGTGACAAGTCAGCGAAAAACTTCACATCATCGTAACACTCTCCGTCCCTTTCCCTTCTCGCAGCTTCTCTGGCGCTTCGCCCGACCCGGTCAACGACGAGCGACAATGCTGACGGCAGGTGGCGCTATCGTCGCCGACAACTCTCGCATCAGCGTGCGCATGAGCGGCAGCATTAGCAGACGCGTCGTGAGGCTGCGCATCCGTGACGTAGGTCCGGAGGATGCGGGAACGTACACGTGCGAGGTACCCACTCAGCCTCCCGTCAGAGAGGACGTCAGCATCACCGTGGTCGGAGGTGAGAAACACATCCTCCTGTATAAATAAATATAAATACGATCAAGAACTAATAATACATGTAATAATAATAACAACAATAATAATAATAATAATAATAATAATAATAATAATAATGTATTATTAGGTGAGAGAGAATGTGTACGAAATCGAAATAAATACAAATAGGTGGTATATAGCGGAGAGAGAATGTATATTCGGTGTTACGGGGCTAGTATATAGTATATAGTATATAGTATATAGTATATAGTATATAGTATATAGTATATAGTATATAGTATATAGTATATAGTATATAGTATATAGTATATAGTATATAGTATATAGTATATAGTATATAGTATATAGTATATAGTATATAGTATATAGTATATAGTATATAGTATATAGTATATAGTATATAGTATATAGTATATAGTATATAGTATATAGTATATAGTATATAGTATATAGTATATAGTATATAGTATATAATATATACCCACCATATAGTGCACACTAGACGGTTCCAAACAGTTGATAATACACAATGGACGATTGCAATTATAGAATAATTATATTACAGCTTATAGAAACAAATTTTTGCGCAGCTTTTCGAGAAAAACACTATAAACAATATACTTTATCTGTATATTACGTACCTGAAGGTATTTCAAGTCCTTTATAAATACTTAAGTACCTGAAGGTATTTCAAGCCCTTTATGAATACTTAAAATCTAAAGTTTCGAGATGTTTAGGTTAAAGAATAGTAGAACCACACATTACTATTGTCAATAAAATTGTTTTTTATTGGGTCAACGGAATAGGCTTTAAGAACTGTGATGTCATATCCCAAAAATGAAAAAAAAAACTATATCGATGGCATTGATTATTCTTTGCAGATCGCTCGAGAACACTGCCACCAGGTGGCATTGGCAGCACACCACCAGGCAACTCCGGCACCATCCCGCCGAATAGAGGTGAAACCATCCCACCAGGTGGCGTCACTCCGCCTAGCCACACACGGGCGCCACCGGGTGACGTTGTGCCATTCATCTCTGAGATCACTAGAGATTCGATGGTGCCCGCAGGGGTCACCTTGGAGCTCACCTGCATAGCCTCCAACGTCGGCAACATGAACGTGAGTGTCTCTCTATCTTAATATCCTAATATTCTTAATTTCTTAAATTTTTAATTGTTTTTAAAATTATTTATATATATACATTTTTTAAATATTTTTAAAATAAATTCCGCATCCCTTACTATTTGTACTGTGGAATCATAATATCAGAACTGCACCGCAACAGCGACATCTGTTGTGATGCACTTCTGAATGAATGAATAAATGACTGAATGAATGAATGAATGAATAAATGAATGAATGAATCAATCAATCAATCAATCAATCAATCAAT